TCAAAGGAGCTCCGTTACTGATCCCACATCCCGCCTGGGATGCAAATGACGTCGACTCTCCTCTGCACAAGCAAACTGCTGGTATTCACCTCCCTTTGCTTCCTGTCCCTGCACCCACGTGCTGCATATCAGCGTGTTTATTCAGCTCCATAAAAAGTTCCCAGCTGGAGCCGGGGCTGGCAGCTCCTTGTCAGCTCTGCACGGGATGGGGATGTTCCCAACCCAGCCTCGCAGCCGCCTCTCCTGCCCTGCGCCTGCAGTTTGCTCAATAAACTTCAAAGGCTGGTGAGCAGAAGAGTCTGTTCCAAGCCTGGCAAGTGTTTGCATGAAGTATGCAAATAGCCGGGGATGGGGTTTTCAAAACCTCTGGGCATTCCCCGGAAAACAGTTTCTTCCCCCTTGCGCTGCTCGGGAATCCGGCAGCCGGTGAGCAGGACCCGGCTGTGAGCACCCCAAAAACCGCCCTCCACCCGCAGAACCAGGGGAAGGAGCCACATAGAAAATGAAAACAAAACCCAAAGTAGCCCCTGGGCTGCTGCCCAGCCTGGGAGCTGCCGGGAGGGCGAGCGGAGGGGAACAGGGGCAGGAGGGATGGGGGGAACGGGGGCTCCGTGGCTTCGGGGTTCCTGCCCCCACCTCTGCCCCCGCTCACCTTGTTGCGAGCTTTGTAGACACAGGCTGTGGCTCCCTGGCCCAGGAGGTCCTCGGTGCTCCAGAGGTAGTTGGGGGTGCTCTGCATCTCCAGCGGGAAGCAGAGGGGTCACCCCGGGGGCCGCTGGCCACCAAATCCCAGCCTTTGATCCGTCCTTGCCTGGCAAGGCGCAGGGAAACGCCGGCCAAGGATGTTCCCCTGGGCAGCTCCAACCTCGCCGGCAGCACCACGCGAAGGCTGCGCATGGACCGAGCCGCGAGCGCTGCCAAAAACCACCCCGGCCGGGACGTGTCGGGGCAGGAAACGCGAAGAAAAAAAAAAAAAAAAAAAAAAAAAAAAAAAAGTAATTACGAGCAAACAAGCGCGGGGCGGCGAGAGGCACCTCCCCACCCCGGGAACTGAAACCTACGGATTGCAAAACCCGCTCGGCAACCGGCGGCCCCGCTGGAGGAGGAAATGCTTCAGCTTCCTGCTCGAGAAAAAAAAATTCCCAGTGTTGCAGCGATCCCCGGGCGTGCTGGGCTCCTCCGGGGGGCAAATGGGGCCGGGATGGGCTCCGGGAACGCCCAAAAGGTGCCGAGCACAGGCCACCGTCGGATTTGGGAAGCAGAGCGGGATCAGGATCCGTGTCCAGGGTGAGAGTCCAGCCTTTGTTATCTGTGCCAGCTCGGCCCTGGCACGGACACAGCATCACCCAGTGGAATGTGTGTGCCACTGTCCTCTCGGGATGCCCTGGCAGGGATGTGGGATGCGGGGGGGGATGCAGGATGCAGAGCAGGGTATGATGTGAGATGCAGCACAGGATATGGGATGCAGGATGGGACGTGGGATGCAGAGCAGGGTGCAGGGTGGGATGTGGGATGCGGGATAGGGTGGGATGCAGGATGCAGCGTGGAATGTAGGAGAGGGTGGGATGTGGGA